AAGCGTTAGTTATTGAATACTGAAATTAATTCCTCAAACTTTAAATGATCTTTACTGTTCCCATAGTTTTACAAATTTGCGCCAAATACTTTAAAATCATCAAGCAGAATCGTTTGAATTTATTTTCATGTTATTAATTATTTCCAATCGTTTACATTAATGATATACATTATATAAAAACCTTATCAACAATTAGAAATTAACGTAACACGTATTATTAATGAGAATAATTATCTAACTAACTTTTGGGTCTGATTAATTTATCCAACCTTGAATTCTCCCACTATTTGAAATATGACCCAGTTAAGTGAGTTAAACGATCATGAATAATTAGTCTATCAAATTTTTTTTCAACAGAAGCTATGATGACCTCATTATGATACCAATAAATATCTGGTGCTTTTGAGGATGATAATTAATGGAATTATTGAATATTAGATCGAATATACACAAGTTCAGTTCGTTATTGAAAAAAAAATAGTGGTCATGATGAAAAATAAAAACATCACTGCAAATGACTTTGTAAACGATTTATCAAAGCAGAGAATGAAAACATACTGTATACAATCGTGAGGTCATTAGAATCAAATTTAGCGGCTCACTACTAGACTCCAATAATAGCTTGAGTTCGAGAACTTCTTGATAGACGTAGCTCTTCATGTTGCGTTATGTTCGACGTCAGGAATTCTCAGAAATCGTCGGGTATTCTCAGACAGTCACGTCGGAAGATTGTTTGTTTGAATCACGTCGGGCATACCATTTTAGCGGCTCAAGAATGGACTCCAGTGAGGACGAATGATTGAGTATGCAATGAAATAAATCTTCCTATCCACTTCCGTACATTATAATAAGGCTGACCCCGTTCGTGCGACGGTGATAATAAAAAGTCTAATACGGTTTCGCGGATGAATTTATTTCATACAATCATTCATGCAGACAGACATGAGAATGGTAAGCGTACAAGTGAGGTGAAGCGAACTGGAGAAGGAGCGTGAGCCAACTCTCCATGAGCTGAAGAGTGACTAAGTATTTATAGTCAAGCAATAATAGGCTAGACATGTGATAAGCGGATAAGCATCCACACACACACAAACAAATATACAATAATCGATACTGTTATCCAATTAGTACAAATACAAAATTATGGTCAATACAATTATCCAATAACTTAAACGACAAATCTTTGAAGAACGATGAATGAATGGTGAGATGCTACAATAGCTCCCTTCCGGCAAACAGGGATAATTATCTTTGTTTGCGATGCTACACACATACGGAACACTAAAAATGGCTGATTGATCTAGGATAATTTTTTGATCCAAAGATCACTTTTATCTTCTTATCATGTAAATTAATATCTGACTGTGGAATAAAATGATAATCATTTTCATTTAAAGTATGTTGAAAATATTCATAAATCAATATAGAAAGTCACAAAGTAATTTTTAGTTATAAAATACTAAATGAAAACGGAAAATCACAAACAAAAATAAACATTATTTTGTTTTAATTATGTGTTGAAATGTAAGATACTTTTTTAACATCTTTTTATCTTAAACTAAAAATGTAAAAATATTTTTATTTAATGATAGATTTGCTAATTTTTCCGGAATAGAGATACATTGAATGGTTTATTTTGACACTTACTATATTCTTTTTTTAATCAAAGGAAAGTTGTCTCTTATCAACAGAACATTTGTTATGATGACAATGTTATCTTTGAGTAAGATAAATATAGTCGCACTATGAATGTATCATTAATTAATCTAGTGATTAGTCCAAATGGAAATAAATTTATATAAATTAGATGTTTTTCTATAATTTAATCGATTGCACATTAAATGTAATTGACGGAGAATTGCTAAAAGGTTTTGTCAGTTAATCCTAATGGTTTAAAACTGAGCTTTATAATAAATAAAGCTTAGATCCTAATCTCATTTGTGTTAGACACTGAATCCAATTTCATGAACCAATATCTTTTCTGGATATTTCGTAGCAGCAATGTAAGAAGTAGTCTGTGTTTAGCTGGTTGAGTCAAATATAGCATCTACTAGTGGCATTAAGGTATGTCTATGTTAGAACAACGTGGATAGAAAATAAATTATTTCAAGTTTGTAGGCATATTATTTTGACAATTACAGGTTGTCCTGCGCAACAAAAGAAACGCCTAATGTACAATTATTTTCGTGAATACATATCCATTTCGAATGACTATTAATTAGGTAACTCCATCTAGAGCCCCTCTAGAGCTACTGCTGATCCTAGGACGGGATAAGGGAGGAGGGTTGGGCATGCGGTTTGCGATCCCATCCATTAGAAAACTAACTCGCTTAAAACATCGCTAACCAGGAAACATAATTCAAACCATTTTAACTCTGCCCTCGGAGTTAAAATTTCCTCTTCCAGAAGAGTTATGATGTGTCAAGATGAAAATCGAGTTCCTTCAACAGTCACGCGGCCCCTTCTCACAACCATAACAACCATTCTTCTAAGTACACAGAAAGTCCAAACAATCTGGAAGACCGAAAGACTTTTCCGAATTGCTGCAGAAATGAAAAGATACTACCTGGAAGTGCTTGGAATCAGTGAAACGTATTGGATGCAGGTAGGACAACTGAGACTAGCTTCATGTAAGCTACTGTTATACTCTGGTCATGAAGTCAAAAATGCTTCACATCCACAAGGAGTTGCACTGATGCTGTCCAAACATGCACAAAAGGCACTGATATGATGGGAATCTCATAGACTTAGGATCATCAAAGCATCCTTCAAAACAAAGAAGGAGGACATTGCAATGAACGTCATCCGATGCCGAGCACCTACAAATGACTACAATGACGACGTTAAAGATCAATTCTACGAAAGGCTGCAGTCAATCGTCGATAGATGCTCATCAAAGGACTTGACGATTCTTATAGGAGACGTGAATCCAAAAGTTGGCATGGACAACACTAGATATGAAGAAATCATGAGATGAAAAGGACTGGAAGAAAGGAATGAAAACCACGAGAGATTTACAAACACATGTGCCTTCAACAACCTGGTCATCAGCGGCACAATATTCCCACATAAACGCATACTCAAAGGTACACGTATTTCACTGGATCACACTACTCAGAACCAAATCGACCATGTCTGTATCGACAAAAAATTCAGAAGGATCATGGAAGACGCGAGAACCAAGAGAGGAACTGATATAGCCTCAGATCACCACTTGCTGGTCATCAAAATGAAACTGAAACTCAAGAAGCCAGACCTTCGAACCCAGTAATGTTGGTTTAACACATTCTCCCAACCTGACCTGAAAAAAGTTATAAGGATGACTTTTATAACCTAATTGGCCGCAGTTATTGAATATCCTATTAAATTTCTAATTAATGCAACTTAAATTAATCAAATGTACATTCATTCTTATGTAACACTAAATACATTTTTAATACCTCGCATTAAATCCATACCATTTCATATGATTGTTAATAAAGAAATTATACCCTTCCACTTTAAAACGTTGGGGACGTTTCATCCCAAGTGTCTATGAAAAAGTTCCGATGAACGGTTAGACAACAAAGTGAAAAATGCTGAGGTCGCTAGATAAGTTTCAGATATAAATAATAAGTTCATTGACTAAGCTTTAGTGCTTCATTAACGTATGTCAGTCAGTCAGTTGCAACGCATGTGGTCAGAACATATCACAGATATGGCTGGCTACAGTCTAATAAAAAGTGGTGATTTTCACAGGGCCTGGCTACAAGAGAACTATTTCGGGAAATATGAGGAACTTTGAAAAACGTAGAATTCTTCATAGGAACATTCATTTTTCATTTTCTCATATATATATATATATATATATATATATTACCCATGTCATTTGTGTGGTTGCACTGCAGCGCTAGGCTGAGCTTGGATAATATCTCATCCTTCTGAAAACCAGTGTTGAAATTACCCTCTCACATGACTTGATTATCATCGTAGATGACATAGCAATATAAAAGCACTCTGTAGTAGAAAAGTTACCCTGAAATGATGCTGTTTTCATTAGGCTCTCTATAAAACATGATTGACACCATCTTTGGCCTATATACATGAGTTCGGAAAGTATCTGTTCCATAGTAATCAGTTCTGGAGCTCAAATTATTACACCTATAATCCTACTTAACTGTATACATAATCGTTCTGAAAACAGAAGAATAGATAAATTGGCTACTGAAAGCACTACCAAACGAAACATCCTATCATTCTCAATCTAGATATAACAAACTAGTACTCCTGATCACAGACAAAATAATATGTACTGAAGAGTACTTGTTTAATACATTGAACAGCTTTTACAAAATAACTTTATAATGTTACACGTAGGCGACTATCCTGATCATAAAGCAACCTAATGATCATGTAAATAGCAAAAGTTAAGTCAACATTTATGTTTACTTCTGTTTTCTGAAATCATAAAACTTTCAAACCATTTACCTTTGAGAAGAACTTCCGCATGGTTTATTAAGTCGACTGTCACATCCCATTTTAGATAAGCAAGTGACCACTCTACGATTTATTTAAAATAAAACCTAGAATAAACTGTCAGCATTTACATATAAGGACAAACTATGTTGTCGTTGTTATTATATTAAATTGCAGTGACAATAGGTAGATTTGTCTAATTTCTTGCATTTCCTCTTCAAATTTGAAATCTGAACTTTATTCGTTTACGTACCGTAACGATGACAGCATAATTCAAGCTACATATTACTTAATCAAGAAGCCAACAGGTAATGCAAAACATTTATTAAGTTTTTTTAAAAATTTGCCTCAAATAATACAATGTTCAGAATATACTAGGTAATAAGCTAATATTATATACAACAAATAAAGGAATCAGTTTACATTTTACATTCATAGTATACACATCTGTGAAAAAGAATTTACTGTACAGTTAGTTATTTTAAGATTATTTTATGATGAAAGACTCAGGTCATGAAGGTCAATTTAAAAAAAGCGTATGTTCCATATTATCCAAAAATTTACAAATCATACAATATTATCATCATTCTGAACATATTCAGAGTATTGATTTTGATTATTTTCGGTGTATATATTGCCTTGTGGATCTTCATATTCAAATGATCCTTGAATATCAACTGTTTGATCGTTTTCTACAATAGCTTCGGCCGGCTGGTCAACAATCTCTTCTTCATCGGGTCCAGTAGGAGAGATTGGATAAATTACAGATGAGTGTTCACTTTGATGTTCAAAGTCTTTTATTGACTGTTTATCGCTAAAACTATAATTTTCGCAACCAGGAGATCTTTGTGGTATTGGTGGAGGTGATTCTGATCTTTCTCTTGATCGACTTCTTTGACTATACCTTGATGATGATCTAGAAGGCAAAGATGGTGGTTTACGAGTAGCTGCTATTAAAGGTACACCAAAACGATCTACTGGATGCACCATCTCCGTGGCAAGTAGAGCCGCTGGAAAACCTGATGCAGTGGCCATACGCCGTGATTTATCTTTCTTACCATGCTTAGCAGTTTTATTTTCTACCTGTCCCTTTACTAAATTCATAGGCATTTGATATGTTTCATTACGTTGGTTTCTTGTTGATGGGTTTTTAGTGTATATATCTGATGGAAGAGGTTGATCAAGCCTATTGAATGTAGGAGCTGGTGATGGTGGTTTTCTTGAGATGCTTTCAGTTAGTCTACGTTCCGACGAACTGGCTAGTCGTCTTTGCCAATAAGCCATCCACAATTCACCAATTGTATCACCTGCTACTAAATCTCCGTAATTTTGTGCAATAAGTCGAAGTAAAAATACTCCATCTGGACCCATATGATTATCAACAAACTGTTCAAAACCTTTTTCAAATTTATTATATTGACGTATGGTTATTAACTGTTGCCGAATCCAAGTAAGTCTCATATTTCTTGTACCTATCCGTCTAATCCATATAATAATACTGCTGAATGTGACAACACCGACTAAGAAAAACCATAGCCATAAAAATATGTATATCTTCTCCAAGAACATATTGATTGGGAGTACACACTGCAAAGTATAGCTGAAATCAGAAAAAAAATGTAATAAAAATTTACATTGAATAGTGGATGATGTACTAGCTTATTTTTCAAAGGACAAAACTCACAACTTCATTTATATCCCGTTTTTTACTCAACGTACAACCGTTTGTATTGTTTAATGTATTTTAAATTGTTTGGTGTTTTAAGCTTTCTAGTGAAGTCCTCCGATTCATATAGTTCGCCGAATGAAATCATTTTCTGAGAAAAATAGTCTTCCAACAACACCTAATCCATAATGGCGAATCACTAAATGATTATTTATGGGTTATGACTAGTAGTGAATCTTAAGATACATGATTCATACTATTTGGAACACATTAGGTGCATTTACCTAATTCCCATTGTGGTTGTTCACTAGCTGAAGACATTAGTTACATCTGGATTTGATAGCTCAAGAGGTAACGCATTTACTCTTAAAACTAAAGGTGTTGAGTTCTAATCCATGTGGGAACATCAAAACTGAAATGCAGGTGCATGTAGCTAGCAAGTCCTGAATATCATTCATATTCACTATCGATATGTCTTATAAAATCTCGAAAAATCGTTTATCCACGTAGGGTATACATATGACGACAAAAACAGGTTAGAAGTCTACTGAGACTATTTTAACTATTACTAAGAATGATATTCAAAAAAAACCTTGTTGTTTAATTTCTTTAATTTTCGGATAAATTAAAATTCAACCCTTGTTCATCAATCGATTTTGAAGATCTATGTTAAGAACCACTTATCTTAGTCTCTTATTTAACGCTCATTTAAAGTTTATAAATTTTTGTCGCATTAATCGACAAAAAATAGGATAATTTTTTTATCACGAAACAATCTTATGTCCGAATCTAACTGGAGATGAAAGCTTAACATGGTTACACTCGAATAGACTACTTATCTATAATAAGTACTTCACAGTTCAGACGGAATTTGAACAAAAACTTTTCAAACTAAACATTAACTACCGAATTTTAATGCCATGTCTAAACTCAAACATAATTGTGGTATGACCTGACGGTTACAAATACAACTTCACTCAGAGTCAAATTTTTTAGATTTCCAAGATATGTCGTATGAAAGATAATCAACTTTTGTTTACCCCTTAATTTGCAATGATTCTTTAACTGTGCCTAGATCGTCCAACATTGAAAATCAAGTCAAATCACCTCTTTACTAGTCAATCATCATCGTGTACAGAATCACTACTAAAGTTGGTGAAAAGAATAAATTTGTTTTTATCATAGAAATTAGAAAAGAATAAGATAATCTTCTCTTTCTACTTGTCTGATGACAGTTGAAATAAATGACAATGAAATGCATTATCTAGTACAGACATGATTCATCGTGTACTAATTTCATTTCATCAAACAAAAAAATGTCGTAAATGTTTGTGTCCACTCATTCTAATGCAGTTACCCTTTTTTATATTTTCTTTGTTGCCGTTTTTTGAAATGTTTACTTAGTGTCATGATAAAAGTGAAGCTATTAAACCAGACATTGTTCATTGAAAATTTCAATTAAGTACAAATGTAAATAGATATTAGGACTTAGTAACCGATTACTAATCCAGTTACCAGAATCATTAGTTATACATAAAGTATAATCATAATACCTAACTGGTCAAGATCAGTTCACGAATCAACCATGAAAAAGTATTCGAAATATATCGATGCTTTTTCAGTAAGAGTTGTGTATTATACATCCATTTCAGAAAAAAAAACATTATCCTGAAATTTTAAGCATTCTCATTCCTTGGTGAATGTAAGTAAAACAAGAGGAACAAGTCATGGGGAATAACATGAATTCATTGTTTTATAAGGCTTACTACCAGTTGCAAACGGCCTAAATTTTCTTGCAGCATTTTATGCTAAACCTTTGTATGCCGAAAGAATGTATGATAGACTACTCATTACCGATGATAAGATAGTTATATTATTTAAATTTTTATCAAATACATTTTCTTGTTATAGTAACTTGTAACTTAAGATATGAGAAATTCCTCTGACACGAAGTTAAGTTGAGTTAAGTTTATCCCAACCTCAAACTTCTCACTTTTTAAATACTATTATGTTTAATCACTATTAGTAGGCTTACTTTTCTAGAAAAACAAATATGACCTAAATGAAGTAATTATATTTATCGTCTAATGCAGGAAACATTAAAAACTTATGATTTTTGAACACAGTAGTAATGATGAAAAATCTGAGTGCAATAGTAATGAATCACTATCTACTTAAGTTTTCTAAATGTTATTCAAATAAGTGAATAAAAAATGAGTGAAAGCACAAACATTTCTTAAAGTGTGCTATTTTTACAGACAAAGCGATATTTGCCTAAATTATACAAATTCTGAGAAATAAATGTGTGAGTAGACAAAAAACGTTACAGTATTTCAATAACTAGACGCGATTGGCTTCTTTTCATCTATATTCGAACAAAGCAAGAATAAGGAGGTTCAAATCTTGTCGATTTGCTTTGTTTCAAAATGTAAACATTTCTAATCTGTTTGTGTGAAATGTTATGTAATAAAAGCTATGATACACTATTATTTCCTTCTACATAATATTCGCATAACAGAGAGACTAAAACTAAACAAAGCTTTAATAGGACTCTCAAGGTCCATATCAGATACTCTAGACTAAACAGGTTTGAAAATAGGATATTTTGCATAAGGTTTTCTTTGATAGGCTGTTTTGTAATTTTGATAAAATCTATATTGAATTGTGTATTTGAATTAACTTCACTAAGCTCCCTATTGCATACACTTCATTACTAAGCAACCTAAACTTAAACAGATTATATCGTGAGTAGTTCATTAGACATTTCACGTTTGAGTCAAGATCTGTTGATCATGGAGTATAATATATGCATCAGTTTAAATTATACATCATCTTAATATCATTTTTGATTATAGAAATGAATGATCCATCCGTTAACTTCTGAAATGAGCATACGTCTTACTAACAAGCCAACAAATATAGTACTTTTGCTTTGACTGTCATCAAATTAACGTGCATTCTTATCTACCTTATACTGTTTAGTGAATAAGTCCCAGTTAAAAATCTTTAGTTGTCAAGCGAAACTTATTATCTATGAATAAAATTAACTACAACTCAACGTAACATCAATATTACTCAATCAAATATCCATATTTCAGAGTGTATGAGATTCAATCGCACCAACTTGATAGTTCAAATGATATATATATATATTTCTGTGCACTAAATGTCCAGTACTAAGATATTTTCAATGGCGTTCTAACTTAGATTGGTCCACAACCTCAAAGAAATAAGATCGAAACTCTATCTTTGCTTTGAAAGACCAAAGAAATGATCTAATTCCACCATACTACAAATTGACAATTAGTTCATTATTCCTAATTTGTTGGTTTAATTTGCCATGATAGACAGAAATCAATAAGGGTTTAGATTTAAGTCTATCATAGTTAACCTATTAAAAAAAAAACATTATTAAACTACAAATCTGACCTAATATATAATCTTCTTCTTTACCGAATGAAATTTTAAAAGAAACTAGGCAAATTAACTTTCATCAATGATATTGGTTACATATGAATTTAAAATAACTCAGCAGTTTTTTTGATGTTATATTTTGGTGGAAAATAAGGTGGCATACACTTTAAAGTTATCTATGGAACAGAATTATGTATCATTTAAGTACTTATTCAACTCCACTGCATATTCAACCGCTGTCTAATAAATAACGTTTCATGAAACTAGTGAAATCATTGTTTGACTGAGATAAATCTGAGTGTATTTTATTTGAGCAACATTAATGAATGATAATCATTTTTGTTATACATTATCAACTAACATTATGATTATAAACAAGAAAGTATTTTATCATAAATAGATAGTACTATTTATTATTAACTCACTAATGACTTTGTGCAAGCTTCTTTGCTTCAAAATCACAGAATGTTACTCTAGGAAAATGACCAGATTCTTCCCATTGTCTTCCTCTGGCGAGATCATACAATACTCTAATTCCATAAAAATTATATTCCACACCAGTATAATACTCCAGCAGAAAAATTTGTCCAATTACATTGGATAAATAAATTAGTTTCACTAGCATATATAAGCGAACAAGAAAATTCCCTTGATACCTACACGGTGATACATGAGTAATATAGTTTCTAGATGGATTTTTTGGTGTATGTGTCTGCCAACATGAACAACAAGTACTTGAATTTTGCAAAGGTTCTTCTATAAATAACTCATTCATAGTTTGTGTACGATCACCAAGCGTTTTATGGGCAGAATAGTAACTGTTTGGCATTGAACCTGTTTCTACATTACCTGATGGACTTATTTGAGGTGTTAACTTAAACTGTTTATTGCTGTATTGTTGATAACTGGACACTGATTTCCGCTTTACAAAGGGTTTGCAAAGACAAGAAGAAAAAGAAAAGCATCTTGTCTTTCGATGTGTCACTGAGCTTTGAACTGCTGAATTCTGTTCATAATCTGTCAGCTCCGAAGCTAACCCTAATCTAGTTCTACTTGAAGCACTGCTGGGAATGCGATTTGCACATCTTTGGCCATGTCCAGTAACACCACTTTCCGTTTCTGGAAGGTAGAATCCACTTTGACGCTGAGAAGGTTGCGGTTGAAAGCTACTTCTCTTGAGCTTTTGATTTGAACTAAGTAAAACAGCTCGACGTAGTTCTCGCTGCCGCATAAAGCACATATCTAAATAGCGAGCTAGGGTTTTTACTGATTTAGTTGCAGAAAAGCTAGAATTTGGAGCAGAACTCGGAAAGTTTGCAGTATTTAAGGCAACGACGGAGGTCCGTTTTCTGTTTTGGTTGGTCTGATCGACTTGACTTAACTGACTTTGTGGTTGACATGAAGCATCACCTTCAGTCGGAGCTGCTTGGGCTGCCTCTGAAGCAAACTGCATTATTCTTTTCACCTGTAGATAAGATAAACTATTATATTTAGTACATAAGTTATATAATACATGGTTATTAAGTAAGTAAGTCAGTAGTTTTTTCAAGTGTTCGCAGTGTAGACTTTCACAGTTTGAAAAGCAATTTGATTAATATGTAAATATTACTAATCTGTAACACCTTCAAAGTCGAGGTTTATTCCTCTGTATTTGAAAATCTATCTTCACACTTAAGTACAGTATCTTATACTTCAAATTTATTATAAATGTAATTTAGTTTAGCTTAAATTCCTCATCAAAACGACTTTGTTCACTGATGTTTACTTTCCAAATATAATCCCATGCAAAGTAATTCTACTTATATAAGCGAACAATATTGTTTTCGATTAGATCGTCATCAGGCTTTACTCTAATATACATGAATATTTATATGAAAATGTTAAACCAATCAAGGCAATTTGAGTGATAATCACAATGAAATGAAAAAGGCAAAAGTACAAGTGGATAGTAGGAAGATAGGTGAACCGATAGTAGTAGGACAATTTATAAAATATGATAACTAAAGTAGGTCAAGGGTGGATGAATAGAAATCAAATAATCATCAAAAACATCAAAAACATTACGGAATAAGCAGATGTGTAAAAATAATAAAAATAATAAAATTAAATTAAAATAAATAAAATATATATATAATGTCAATCGTTAGTTACGTCATATCCGGCCACGGAAGAGATAGGGGTGTCACGAATTTTTTCTGAACACATAAATTAGGGTTGAATGTGCGTATTCCTATGGCTTCTGCAATGTGTAGGAGACGGGATCGAACTCCGTTGGGAAATGATGGAGGTATACGATAGATCACCCGAAAAGATCTAGATTTATCTACAATGTGACCACTATCTACCAGGTGTGCTAAGATAGAACTGCGTATTGTTTTTGACTGACCCTTTGTAAACCATGCTGGTAGATGTTCACTCATTCGTTGTGTAAGTTGCCTGGAAGTACGCCCGATATAGCTATCTCCACAGGAGCAGCTGAATTTGTAAATGCACATAGAGGAGGCCAGCTCAGGTAACTTATCTTTCGTTTGAGTAGACATCGCAGGTCGACTGGAGAAAGTCAATGCAAGTTTTGCAGCGTTGAATGTTCTGTTGATTACTCTTCTTAATCTATCCTGCAGAGTATCGCAGGCCACATCTCCGTTGAATTGCAGCTTCATAAACAAAGGCTTCTTTCGGGCAGTCGAAACCACCGGCTTCTTTTTTACGGCAGACATATACTTCTTTAAGAATGCGCTTGGATAACCAATCTCGGTTAGTGAGCCGTTGATGAATTCCAGCTCCTGACTTACAGTATCCATTGAACATATCATATTTGCTCTGTAAGTGAGACATCTAACCAAATTTCTTTTGTAGCGGATAGGTGTAAAACTACAAAAGTGAGTGTATTGGCAAGCACTAGGATTTTTCCTATACACGCTTCTACTTAGTGAACCATCCTTTCGCCTACTTAGTGTGATGTCAAGGAAAGACAGTTTTTCATCATATTCTTCTTCCCCAGTGAACGTGATTGCCGGGTGTACATTGTTGAATTGTTCTAAAAGTTTTTCTTTCCTGGTGTCCTGATCTACAATGATGAATGTGTCATCGACATAACGGCAATATAGATCAAGTTTTTGAATAACTTCGTTCAGGGGTCCATTTTCTAGCTTTGCTAGAAAGAGATCAGCTAGAATCGGGCCTAGAGGTGAGCCCATGGCTATACCGTCTATCTGCCTATAATAATTATTGTTGAATACAAAATGGACATTCATCGTGCATCTTAGGAGTAATTCCTTAAGGCAATCTTCGGGCAATCCAATGTTGATTTGTTTTTCTTTAATTTGCTCGCATATGAAATCAATAGTCTCAAATTGCCTTGATTGGTTTAACATTTTCATATAAATATTCATGTATATTAGAGTAAAGCCTGATGACGATCTAATCGAAAACAATATTGTTCGCTTATATGTGTTGTTCTAATTTTCACAATGGGAATCTTTAAAATTCTACTTATGTAGTTTTAATATTCCTACAATAAATAAATATATATATATATATATATATATATATATATATATATATAACTATTAAAATGTAAAAAGTTCAAAATTGACTTCATCAGCCATGATAGTGCCTGTGACTTATCATGAAATCAAAAGATAAAGATTTAGCTTAAAATGTTAAGCGCTCGCGTTAAAAAGAGCGAATTGAGAATTCAATAAACTCTGTATTTTAACTGTTGTAAAATCATCGATTCTGGTTCATGATACAGGGAATTGTTGTCATCTTTGGAAATACTAGTTGTTTTTCTAAAGATTCCAATTAACGCGACATAAGACTACTTTGTCAACTTAGTGTTTAAATTTCTTCTTTGACGCTAAGTTGTGATCGCTAAGATGCCCTACTCGGAAGTTTTATTGATGTCTAGATAATATTGAAAAGATAAACTCAAGGCACTTTACTGATATTTTTCAAAATCAGGCATCTAATGAAACCCAATGAAATTTCACGTGTCTCAACCTAAAGGTGATATAAAGAACTTGATTCACCCAGTTTTGCTTACGAGTCAACATGATTGCAATTTACTATTTTAAAATAATTCAACAGATTTTTCAAGTACGTCACACTGAGATAATAATCAAACCATGTAAAATTCTAGGATGTAAAGGTCATAGAATAAACACATTTATGAAAATTGACTTCATGATTCTTAGAGCTAATTTGCATTTAAATAGAAGGATTAAATTATTTGACAGTTTAAATATAAATAAATATATTTCCACACTTTTTATGAAGCGAATCAAACTAAAAGTGATTATCAAAAGGAGTAGTGATTTTTGTAACGATCATTTAGATGTCAAGGTACTTTACAATTTAGGTTTCTCCTCTCTTAAGGGTGGCAGATAGTCATTGGCTCCTAAGTTAGAATGAATTGAGAAAATCATTGAATTAGAGATAAGTTAAAATGTAGCCTTGCTGACATAATAATGACAAAAATATTTTTTAAATGCATCATTCTCAAAAATTATTTATCTGAATGTAATTAATTTGAAATGATCAAGTGCTGAAAGGACGAAACTCATAAAAATGTTTTTACAATAAGTGACCAAATTATTCGAAGCTCAAAATGAGAAGTTACAGGTAGATTTAAAACTGCTCGATCAAACTACAATCGAAAAGTTGTCAAAAGAGGCTAAGTAGGAGAAAATACAAAAACAATCATTGTACGACTCTAGAATGATGATTCAGATCAGTTGTTGATCAGTAAATGATCATTATTTTCACGAACAGCTTAAGGCCAACAGATTCCTCCAACTTGATACAAACTCGATAGAATGCTTTTCAAGTGCGGACGAATGAGAGAGCGTTAGATAATACAATAGATTGTATTTTTCGAGTTTCTTTCGGCAAACTTAACTGAGGTTATGTCAAATATATACTTGATAAGCTTGGTTTACAGTTTTGTTGATCTAAGTAGCCTCATAAAGACAAACAACTTTAGGAGACAGTGTATACTGTACTTAATACGAGCGTAATTGTCTTTAGAAAGCTAACCAAAAAACATCCCCCTAAATGTCCTGGATGAATAATATATATCAGAATAAGGCTGTAGAGATTGCTGAGTTTCACTGAAATCAAAAACCAACAAATGTTAGACCACTATCGTGGATTGATCTAAGTTAGACATTAACACCGTAGGATGTCGGCTCAACGGTCTATACGTTGAACGTTTGCGGGTTCGAACTCCGCTTGCAATCATGGGTAGGCGTTACTGAGAAGTCCCGTACCAATTTCCGCAGGTTTTCAGTGGTGTTCAGACATTGATCGGTTCATGATTTCATTGAAAATTACATCCTTGACACTATATATGAACACTACAACAGATGGATGTGAGCACTTGATGAGAAACCATGAAATATAATTAATTCATATTATTTGGCCTTAATTGCTATCCTAGCTTTTTTAAAGTTCGTAAAGGGAACCAACTACAAGATATATGAATTATGTCTTGGACTGATACCCAGGACTACCGTATCTTACAACATGGAACTTATATACTGAATGTACTCGCTGTTATGTGTTATTTATTTATATATCACAAAAGATGAGCTTACTTGAAATCCAGATTGACCAGCAAATAATCGCCAAACAAGACATGGTAAGTAGAATAAAAATGATTGAACGGCTAACAGAATAGGAGCCCATTGATAATAACTGATTAATCGACCGTCACTTGGTAGTTCGCCAGGTTTTGGTTTTGGAATTTTTGGGAATATTGAATACGGCTGTAATATACGTTGTCCATTTGCATCTATATAACCATTTGATATAAAATTGGATTGCGATATTAATACATTTGATGTTGGATATCTGGTTAAATGTATAAAATAAGTACTGGCTACCCAACAATAATTTTCTGCGTACTCTTCCCATGCTCTGGTAAACTCTTGCGGTGTCCAACATTGTATCGGCTTGCCTAAATAATTTTGAGTTAAAAGAGGAAAATAGAAGAATATTTTTAAAGATAACACGTACAACACTGACATTATGAAAATGAAGACTCAAACATCAAGGAAAGTATGAGTTCCCTAATCAATGCATCTATATTTTTCCAATGAGTACCACCTACGCGAAGGCTTCTTCCCTATTGCCTTGATACACAAAAGAATGAGGTAGAACATGGCTTCTACTCACCACATACTGTAACTATTTAATTTCAACTGAAGAGTTCATTTATTGATTCAACTTTCAATTTTATTAACATCTGAACAACCAAACAACTAAGGTGAAAATCTGTCTTAAAAAAACCGAACATGCGAAACTAATACCAAATGGTATTTTCAGTCTCAATCAAAAAATAAAATACTTCGGTGAATATATATTTGATGAGAATTCGTCGAAATATGGCGTTTATAATTTATAAATGAAAGTAAATAATTAACAAAATTTTAACTTCATATATATATTTCTTACATAATAAACCAACACACAAAATTTAGAAAAGGTTTTTGTAAATGAGGATACTTTTTTCTTCATTGGTGAAACTGTAATGAACAAAAACATCCGGAAAGCTAGTATGATTTAGTATATTCAAGTGTTAATGGTTTGATAATGGTATTCAGTTATTTTGTGTAACTAATACAGATAAATATAAATATCGGCATTACTAACAAGTTACTTAGAAGATGAAATATCAGCACTCTTATAATAAAATTAGCTTTTATTGGTCATCTTTAAAAATATTCAGTGATCAATAAATTATATCGTTGTAAAGTTTTGATATTTTTTTATTGAATCACTGGGTACACATAATCTAATGAACATCTATCAATTGTATTCGCTTTATGTGGTGGTATATGAATATACGACTTGTTAGATGATAATTTTGTTTGCTAACTCACTTGATTGATATAAAGTAAGTGTAAGTTCTCAAATACAACCTATGAGTAAGTAACTGCACATAAATTTGCTAGTGTATATCTCTCGGCTCCAAAGTAAATTTAGCAAATGCTTATTCATGGAATAAAGAATTAAGCCTGTCAGACTGTGTTTGAGTAAAATAAGTTACAATACGATGTTCTGATAAGATATTTCAGTCATTTATCATAAACGGAGGGGATAGTTGTCATTCATTTCTCATAACCAGAATAATTTAAATCACAAAACTTAAAAACGCAAAAACTGTTGTAATGATGATTTTGATTAGACCATTTTCTTGTGTAAGACAAATTAAGAGGGGATTATGACTGATGTAATAGTTTAACTAACAAACTTTAAAAATTATTCAGTATGTTGCATTCAGTAGTGTTATGTCTTATTCTGTTCGTCTTAAAAAAAAGCTCATTCATAGATTGTTAATTTCTCTCACCAGTTTTATTTATCTATTTTTTACCCAAATCCATGTACACTAAGAATGGTCATTTTCCTTTCAACTTTAAACCTACATGAACAGGTAAGAATATAGAAATCTTAAATAATTCTTTTAATGGATTTCCTCTGCCTTGGTTGTTCCTATTTTAGTTGAACATGGCGTGTGCAAATGGATGGTAGGTACTACTTGAGACGTTTAGTAAGGACTCCCACGATGAATGTAATTCATGAGAATATACATATATATATTTGAGTTCTCAACAGTTTCATCAAGTTTACATTAACAGACAGGCTTTTATATATTTCTACTAGTGATAATCATTAATATTCTTCATTAGTATCTTTGTAGTCAATTTTTATTAAAGCTGAAATCAAAATATGATTCACATAAGAACAGACTGTTATTAAACCTTGATAGTAGAAAGAATAAAGAGTTTAACTTATTCACTTAATTCACTGATTCCTTGATTTCATTCCTGTAATCTCTGAAAGTTGAAAATACAATCAGAACATAATGTTCATAATATTTCAGTGAAACGGACCAAAAGCATCATCCATATATACGATTTATGTAGTGTGTTTTATCGAAAAAAAGACAAATCACCAAACTCCGAATTCAGAAATCTCACACAGGCTTTGCTGCTAGTTATGTACATTAATATAGAAGTGAGGATTCTAGTTGATAATGCAAATCTTTGTTAGCTATCAAGCTCCTATCAACAGGATAATACTTCGTTAAATCTAACCTGAACAATAACGATGTCATATTTGCAAAATTTCTATTCCACGACACCTCAAAGAATAATATGCCACTTACATTTTTAAACTGATTGTGGTGATTTTCATGATAAACTGATGCTAATTTATAAACGAATAAATTCAGATTACACTGATTAGCTATTTTATTTTAAATTTTGGTCTTTTCAATAGTATACTAACAAGACTCAAAACACCTTCAAAAATAGACTATTCAAATCTTATGATAAGTATTATGCGTTTGGTCGAGTGAATCAAAATCCAATATTCCATACTTTCAACCTAATTTAAATTTGTAGCCAAGCCATTTTTCAGTAAAAGTTCACATTTTACGACTTATCAGCCAGTGTTAGAATTATCTACGAACATTTCATGGTTACTCTTTATAAATGTAGATGGTTTTCATCGCTGTTAGACACTAGTTAAAGGTTAACTAATACAAGGATTGTCAAATGTTACAACTGCTAACCCAAAGGTTATATCACGCTCTGCATAACAAAACGACCATTTTCTTGCTGACAGAACAAAGTATTTTTAAATGATGCTGTTTTAGATTGAAAAAAAGACTCAATAGACACTGCTTCAAACCACAGAAGGTTACTTACTAACTTATTGCGTCATCAGAATCATTGGGAAGGCTTATTTAAATTAATCTAAATTCATTATGTTAGGTTGTCGATACAAATTCGCCAGTCTGTGTCACATTTATAACATATAACAAAATTTGTATTATTTCATGAAACGAGCGATAGAGTTTTTGTTTCGAATATGGCTTGATTAATCCTGTCACTAATATACATAACGCTAATGAGGTTCAGATAATTGGAATCGACAAAACAACCATAAATATTATTGTAATTTAGCTACCATACCGCCTGACACTAAAACGCGGATCGTTCTGACCAGAGAAATCACGTTGGTGAAAATATGAAGGTAAACTGCCGGTTGCAAAGCTTCGAAAGTTTTTCCTAAAGATAAAACACTTAGCTGTAAATTCAACACGTCACAGATCAATGAGAAAATTAGGAATCCTAAATTTTTTGGACAGTCAGAAAGCAAATAAAAGCCATAATCCAAAATAAATATATAATTGAAGTCTATAAAGTGTTAAATTCCGAAGAAAGAATTACAAAACATGAAATGAGAAACAATATCACCAAAAACTGTTACCAAATGATCTACTGAGCTCTAATTTATCACGTAGTAGTAACATTACATTTTTCCATACACTGGTGTTGATTAAGTTCTTTCAGTCAAATCAATATAACTGATTCAACATCAAATCCATTTTGTCAAGCGTCGTTTAAGAAGAAGTTCTAAAGCTAGGTTCACACACTTCTTTAAACTTTGTGACTAGAAGCATTCAATATTTAGTGGTCTAAGTAGTTTATAATTTTGCGCTATATCTTGAGATTATTAGCCTCATTTTATATGGAGTTGTTATCACTCAGTATTCAAGAATACTAAGTTAAAATGAAATAGTTGATCGGTGTTTCTTAGATTTAAACTATTTTATGGTTTATACACATTGTCTTATAAAAAGGCCTTTATAGTTTACCACAGTTACAACCCGACAGACGTTCTGCATGATTTATTTCATTGTTTGAACCGAAAATAAAGATTAATAAACTATTTTACTAGTATTCATAATTAATACATAAAATTATTGTTACTGTGACTACTGTAATAGCAACAGAAACATGAGTTATGTGTTCTTTGCAGCCTGAAACCGGAATTTTTTCTTTAAACCAAGTATATGCTTGCGTATATCGAAAACTTTCCACTCATATAATGCACAATGTAATATAGTAACTAGCCGTTTGACATTTTTTTCCCTAGAATTCTACAAAGTTAGTTTTATGAACATTTTGTTTGCTGAATTCCCTTTCACTCTATTTACACCAATCCAAGAAATATAAATCAAGTTTGGCTGTAACAAAAATAATTAATACCACACTGTAAAAGTAAACGACAATACAAACTAACACTTGTACAAATCTACATCATGTTTACATTGTTTTGCTTATATTCGTCAAACAGAAACTTAAATCTTAATGAAAGCTTCTTTTTAATGGTGAATGGCAGTTTTTAATTAGTCAACACGTTTATTATTAACGTAATGAATCAGTGCATTACACTATCCAAATGGTCTGTAATTCGTGGCAATATAATTGATTAGTTACCGGCTATTCACTTATTTTCCTACGTAAAATAAGCATGTTAGAAATTTCTAGAACGAAATCAATCAAAATTCCGAAAAGAAACTAAAATGGAAAATGTTCTAAATCCCTATTCAGCTTATGAAACTAAACTTCTCATGTCTTATTTGAGGACAAATAGTAAACAAATAATTATCAAATCTACTTTGCGTTACATGCAGCAATCTTGGTGTTTGATTGAGAGTTTTTTTATCAATGTTTACAAAATGGAACTACAGTTAAATAGTTTCATAGATCACTTAAAGGAATAAACAATAACAGTCAGTTCTGTTTAGCTTTTGTGTTGAATTTAGCAAACAAGAAAACAAACCTCAATTTCTTAAGAAACTATGAATTGAAAACTTGCTTTCAATATCTGTAAACTAAAATTAATTAGACATGATCTTTTACAACCGGTATTTACAAATTCTTTTTTGTATTGATTGCTAGTGTAAAAGTTTTTATTCATTCTGGAACAAAACAATATTTGTTTATGCGGTTTCATCCACAAACAACAAAACACTTTAATTCTCTTTTCCAAATTTATAAAAAGAAATTTGCACTTTAATTATCTAAATATGTTGTATAACAACAGTAAAGTATATGATATTTGAAACAATCGTACGATTAAATCACGTTATCGTCTATTTAA